GATCGGTACTCGGTATCGGCTGATACCCACAGCACAAGTATCGGAATCGGTATTGGGAGGGAAAAAATGGTATCGGAACATCTCTAGTATCTCTGTGCCGGTGACAACCGTGGCCTGAGGTGTTATGTTTTCGGGTTGTCCATACTTCCGTATGTATGCCTGTACATCCGTCCTATTCTCATGAACGTGATCATTTCTTCAAATTTGCCACAAATGTCAATGTTTTTGGTGGTCAAAGGTCATAACCAGACCACTAGATTTTGAAAAAGATAAAATTTTCATATAATAAATAACATTTGAAGGAAAAATACTATACCGTATAGTAAACAGATGTTTGTGTACAGTAGTTATAGGTTGTGATTGGTCGTGGAAATTTTATTAAGGGTCCTTGAAAAGTAATGGAAATGTTTTAAAATTTGGTCCATGAAAATGTGTGGAAACCCTAATATTGAAATTTCCATCCATGAATTTATTTGTACATGTTAAAATGCAGTTGACCAAAATAATGCAGCGTTGTGCAACAGTACATGAGTAATCACAAACATGGTTATAAAGAGCAATATAAATCGATTTACTGACAGTTCTGTTGGGTGGTGAGTGATGGTACAGATTATGGCAGTGAGGTATTTTATTGGCTGCGACAGACCATTGCTGTACCTCAGTGAGAGATTGTAGCATGACTAAAGTCTTTGAAGCTAGCTGTTGAAATGACAGACGGTTGTAGGTCATGAGGACATGGGTCTATTGCCTTTTTGGATCAGATGTTCAGATCAGATTTCTCAAATGTCAAGGGCAAATGGCAGTTCCGTGCCCTTTTGTCACCATGGTGTCATATGTTTATATGCATGCGCACCGGCCACAACAATTGGCTGGAGGCAGTGTTTTCGGGTTGTCCGTCAGTTATTCAAAAAGCCATTTTGGTGATTCTGAACAAAAACAAAAATCCATTCACTTCCACTGTTTTTGGGTGGGTCTTAACAGCAGATATCTATAAACTTTGGCTAACGCTAAAATATCGGAATAACTAGATACTAGATAGGAGTAAATGGGAAAACATGTTTTAATGATTTAGGTGAACTGACCCTTTAAGTGTGTTAAAATGTAGTACTATTGGCTAATAGAGGTTGGCCTTAAAACTCTAAAACTCTTGAATTTTCTTTCTTTTCTTTCTTCCTTACCCTCAACATGTTAAGAGTCTCAGTAGCTAATTGTCTCTTCTTTAACACATTGTGGTGGTGATGTGGACGACATTTGAATAATTTATGTCCAATGTGTAACATTTACGAGTATCTATTGGCAGACATCGAATACAACATTCATAGGTATGTTTTCATTAGTGTACAATCACCGAAAATAGTAGCCCAGGACGGTCGAGCCAAACACTGCCTCCACAGAGGGCCTTCGCATAGCCATCATAGTTTCTCCAGTACACTCCCAGCTGAGTTGTAGTCAGTTGGTTACAATCTGCAACTTCATTGCAAGATGCCTCTAAATCCTACAAACTGGTTTTGAAGTATCTGATAGATCTTCTCTTGATGGACAAGTCAGTCAGCCTATTCAAAAATTCAGGTCCAACTAAATTTTCCCTCTTTTTGTCCAGATTCTTTGGCTCCAGAGTCTGGCAAAGATGTCAGAGAGCAAAAATCAGTTTTATCCAGTTTGGGTAGACTCCCAGCGGCACAAACTATCTGACATCAATCAACAGTAGATAATATTATGGTTGTACAGTTTACTGTGGAGCAAATCTGAAATGATGGTGCCAGAATATGGTAGTGAGGTCGGATGTCAGTGTTAGACAAGGTTTCTTACGCATTTTGCTGTGTAGGAAACTGCAAAAGGTGGCAGGGAGCCCAGTGCATGGCTCTTTCAAACTCTAAATACAGAACAGTGTGCACAGGCCTGGGGCCCTTATGACGTGTGACTGGTTTATTTATGGTCAGGGGGTTTAATTGGACCTAGGATCACGTTGATGTTTTCAAGTATACTTTAGGATAGATTTTTTTTTTCTTCCATCGTGCAGACCCAAATGTAGACTCAGCTAGACAGGGATTATAGTGCCAATTATTAATTTGGTCCCTCACTTATAGGTATAGCTGTGAAAATGCTCACTTTTAGATATGTTTGCTTCGTTCTTTTTAACTTAAGTTGGTTAGGATGTTTTATGTTACGCAAATTGAATTTTTCTTCACAAATGAAGAGCTTTAGTTGTGAGGAAGTGTGCTGGGCTACTGCTGCTCTGCATGCCGACAGCATTGTCGGGAGGCTGGCTTCTCAGTTCGGCTGCGTACTGAGTGGAAGCTCAGATGATGAGTTCATTTCTAGCCAGATGGTAGTCATCTCTTTTTTCCTTCTTGGTGGCACGCTCCTTGAGGTTCCCTGACTTTATGAGGTACTTGGAACATCGAGGCTTATCACTGTTGTTCTTCAGTGGTGTTTCTTAGAAGACAGAACTCACACGCAGTGAGAGATTTAGGATGATGTCGTGCACATCTTGCTGCCAGCAAAGTAATTCTAGGGTAATTTTATTCAATAGTAATAGTTCCCAGTGTAATTGTTTTACATGGTGTGATGGAGCAACCTTGTAGAAATGAAATCACACCTCACATGCCTGTGTGGTGTTAGATGCATGCATTTTAAGATACTCTGATAGTAATGTATCAGCATAAAAATGAGCGCTATAAATTTGATCTGAATTTAACTTAAATGTTAACTTGTATGAAATCAAGAATGACAGAATCCAAATCATAAAACCCTGAGGCTTTGGCAGATCATGGTTACAGGAAATACAACCCACATTTATTCTGTAAATACTCTATCACAAACCTATTTAGAGAGAAACCAGAGACTGTAAAGAAATGGGATATCACTTTTTTTCTTTTGAAAATGAGCCAGTCAGGCATTAAGTCCAAGGCTAAATTTCTTTCCCAGCCCTCCCCTCCCCTGCCCACACACACACACAGCCACTCACATTCACGCAGACAAACACTGTCACAATGAATGTACTTTTGCTCAGAGTTGTTAATAAAAAAAGAGGACACGTGAGTTTGACTGTAATGTTCTCCAATTTAAGTCTCCTTTGTATTTGGTTTTGCCACTCCACATCTCACGATACGCAGCGTAGATGGGATAATCTCAGCTGTGATATCATTCATAAGCTCTAAATAAGAATCGCAGCTAGTCGGGTTTTCTCTCTTTCTTTGCTTTGAACAGTTACTTTGAGAAGCAAAAAGCGGAGTGGCAGAAGGAGCCACATGAGCCTGCCATCCCAGAATCCCTGGCTGCCGCTGCAGCTGCGGCACAACAGCTTCAGGTGTCCAGGAAGCAAGATGCACGCCAGACGGCCACCTTCAGACAGCAACCCCCACCCATGAAGGTATTGCTACTACTGACCTATAGCAGTCGGGCTGTGAAAAAAAGCCCATTTCTTTAAGTGTGACTAGTCGATGGATGGTCTGGCCTAATAATGGAGCAACTGTTTTCAATTAAGGCCTAAGTTCCAGGTAATTAGGCCGCACTTTATAGCTTCTTTCTTTAATAATGAAAAAGCAGTGTCAATTTCCTAGATGTAATTGGCTCCTACCATATATGTAGAAAATGGTGATGCAGCCACATAAATAAAAGAATAAGCATATCAGATATAGCCACATACAACCTGACTCAGTAGCTTGCTTGTATCTACTGCACAGCATCAAGGACATAATATTACGTGATGGCTCTAAATTTCTACCCCTCGTTCTCTCCAGGCTTGCTTGTCCTGCCACCAGCAGATTCATCGTAATGCTCCCATCTGCCCATTGTGCAAGGCCAAGAGCCGCTCCCGCAACCCAAAGAAGCCCAAGAGGAAGCCAGATGAGTAGATCCTACTCTACCTTCAGCTTCAGTAAGGTTTAAAGGGACCTGGTCCAATACACTGATCTAAGACCAGCCATGTATGGCAAAATATACGGCTAAAACCACAGATCTGTGCTTCCGGACAATTTCCACAAACAGTCCCCACTTTAACAAATTGTCTTAGTACCTTTTTCATAAACTGTCAACAATTGATCGAAGATCTGGTAATGTTATTCTGTTGTTTGTTTTTATCAGTGCTTTGGATGTGTTTATATGTAACTGTATGACTTCTATAGTAGGTTTACTAGCCCCTAACCATGTAATTGCAATAATGCAAAAAAGGAACTTGGTAAAATGTCCAAATAATTCTGTCTATGTTGCTATTGTTTATTGCCTTAGATATTGTACTGTACTTTTTATTTTTTTATTTTGCAATGCATGCGTGCTTCCATGGCTGTCTGTTGTGTATTTTTTGTGCAAATATAAAAATCGAATAGGTTTAATTGCTAAGTTAAGTTAAACACAATGTTGTTTTTAATGTTAACAGTGTTCAAGTGACCACAAACTGGAGAGAAAAAAGGGCCACACTCATTTGCTCTTGAATAGTGTTGTGTGTTTAACTTTAATACAATAAGAAAATAAATGGCTGTTTTGTAACCTTGTTAGCATGTACCTTTTTCACACTCAAAACAAAGGCTGGACATTTGTTTCTGGTATTTAGCGGTGTGGACATAAACACAGCTGCAGCTAAGCAGGCTAACCGAGGACACCACCATCGGCATACGGATCAGTGTTTAATAGGCGGCTGGGTGAGTTTAGCCTGTGTCACAATAAAGAGGAAGGAATATGTTACACCCCACCACAACATTGTCCCTCTCATTGTATTAGTACTGTGCCCATCATGTCTGCAGCTATCTGTCTGAAAAAGGACAGTGAGGGCTTGCTGAATGAGTTCCTGTCGCGTTTTTGTCAGGGTAACCCCTCATTTCATCTGTTGCCAGGGCAACTCCACGTTCCTCAGTCGTTGCTAAGGCAACCCCAGGTTGCTGTGACCCGCATATCTCCACCGAGTAGTTCCTCCCAAATCCAGCGAGGGGCATCGATGGGCTTTGGGAGAGGTGGCACAAACTCTTTAAAGACAGAGAGAAAGTTTTAGGGGATGAATCGATGTGATCAGACACACTGACACAAATAAAACGAGGCAAGTAGAGACACATGGCTCGTTAAGGGCTCTGGGATATGGAGCCACTTACTCCATAACTCAAGTGTGTGTTTAGTCTGACCTTCAGTGTTTGGAACTGCAGTTGTGTCTTCTTCCTCTTGATAAAACTTTTCAAGGCCAGCTGAGCCTGTTCCTGCTCACACACACTGCAGACAGCGGGATCATGGAGCTCCACCTCTGCAGCCTGACACAAAAGAGACTCATTAAGATTTTATTTTACCCCCCACCACCACCGTAATGACAACGCCATGAGTTTCTTCTAACCCGTCTCATCTGCTCTTTGAAGGTTTTGAGCCTCAGCATTGGAATGAGTTGAGGGGGGACCGGCCGGACTTCAGGACCTTGACACAAGAGACTGAGGGAGGTTTGCTCTCTCTCTCGTTCAGAGCAGCCTGAGAGAGGGAGCTTCCTCTCTCTCAACTCGTCCCAGGCTACAACTTGTCTTTCACATTCAGTCCTCTCCCTCCCCCTGGCTCCTTTGTGTTTGAGTTTCTCCTCCTCCTCTTCCTCTGAGAACTCGGGTTGCTGCTGTTTGTTTCGGAGAAGAGAAATCATTCTTCTGCAGTGGTTTCTTAAGGCTTCCCCCTCCCCCTCCTCCTCCATTTTGTACAGAATACAGCACCCGGGAAGACGTTTCTGTCTGTTCCGATGATATCAGGGTGTCTGCACCCATTAACCGACCCTACCTCTTAACCTTTAAGAGTGCAATACATAACGATTTAATCTACAAACAAAGGTCATTGTCAAAAATGGCTTTCCCCTCTGTGTTTACACGCACACCCTCTTCTTTTACTGTTCGCCACAGCTGCTCTTCCTGCCATCGACGCGTCTATACCGCCATCTGGTGGTTGAATTTTATATTCCTATTATTCTTATTCTTAGTAGTTGTAGTAGTATTAATATTATTAGTATTATAAATATATATATTTAAAAAAATATATAATAAAATATCAAAAGATGTCAATAGTTTTTATTTATTACACTTACCCCAATGGCAAGGGTCATAAGGGCTGTGCAAAATCTAACACAAACAATGTGCAATACCAAATATTATAATATATAATATATTATAAATGCACCATATAAAGATAATAAAACAACAAACAAAATACAAATATGTACAGTGTATAATACTGCACATATAGGGTATACAGAGATGATTTAAATAAATGTATGTGAATGGTCTTCATTATCAACAATAAGAAGCTTTCTATGTTCTTCCTGTTTACATTCATGTAATCACCTTTTTCACACAATATTATGTTAGATAATGTGACGTGAGTGCATTGGTTAGAAGTTCGTTGGCTTTGTTTTGCCTGCCACTGATACATTTCACATTCAGGGCTGTTTTGTATGAAAATGTATCCAGAAATATTTAACAAGAAAAGAGCTGGGATCACTTTTATAGATTTATTATTTCAGAAAAAGTCATAGATAAACATTTCATAACATACACTGTTTGATTCCTGGTTCGCATTAAAAGCAAATCTTAGTTATACACATTTGTCCATGTTCCATGTCTGTGTGCTCAAATCAATAAATCAATAAATAAATAAAGTTCCCTCATGCATTTGTACAATGCCAGGAATCTGGACTCTTGTGCCATCTGCTGAAAGAATGTGGTGTGTCACAGCCTCCCTTCTAAACATGGGGCAGTATGAAGACATGGGTGGGTTTGGCAGAAGAACAGCTGACTGGCTGCTCCTCTAAAGCTTCTGACAGTCACACAGCTGACACTTACTAAAATGGCTGCCTTGATGTGAATCAGGGTGATATCAGGGCACATGCAGCAGACTAACTGCCTTTCTCATTGTTTATTTGACTTTATCGTCACAGTGGGAAACCCAACAATGCAGTTGTGGGCTGTTGTGCCTTTTACTGCCTTCTCAATGAGCTGAAATGAAAAGTGGAGAATTAGAGAGACACCCACAGAGACAGACGTCTTCATTTCATTTTTGTCTTTACTCAGGAAACAGGGAAAGATAGTCACACTCACCAATCACCTTTCTAATTATAAACCTTAGCCTGGACTCTCCAAGAATGGAAGTTTAGCCAGGCCCATCTGTGGCCTAAAATTAGCCCCCACCCCCCAGAAAGGAGCTTTGGCCCCCCTGTCAACACACACACACACACAAACCATACTGCACTTTTCACAACTCACAGCTCCTGTGAAAGCATCACACACTCCTTAAGGGACCTTTCTTTCCTTCTTTTTTCCCACATTACTTATAATTATGGGGTTTTAAAACTTTTCTTCACATCTTTGGAAATATTGGAATTAACATCACCAAGCAACTACATGAGGTAAGTGCGTTGTTGCAGTAAGTTCCAGTTTGCTGCTGTTGACACAAACCATGTAACTTTGTTTCTATTGTTTTCTGTGGACATTCTTTGGGTCTAAGCAGTGCTTTTTTTTTATATCTATGAATAAAGAAATCCCTCATGTATACCTTTGAAGCCATATATATTATATATTCTCTGTCTATTTAGGCTGTATTACTGTGACTTGTCTTTTATACAATAATTGTGTCACATAAACAAACTGCATCGTCTTATAGTAGGACTATATGGTTATTGTAAGAAGTGTCATTCTTTTACTTTCATGTAGACATTGTTATACTGAAATAAAAATGATGCCCCCAAAAAAGAATCCAATTTGACAAGAATATGTCAGCTGTACGAATGTCATCTTTCTCTGAATTTTTTCTTTGCTATTTCAGATGAAGGAGCTTTGACTTGCATCAGCCTGGAGTTACATTATGGTTCTGGGCCAAGCTGTCAACATGAGTTTGATGGACATTTCTAAGATCTTCTCCCTGTTGCAGCCTAAGGAGGAGGATGAGGACAACGAGCAGTGTCAGGCCTTGAACAACGCTGTGAGCAGCGACAACGTGACTCTGCTCTCTGAGCTTCTGTCTCAGGAGAGTTACAGGAGGTCTATCAATGCACGAAGTGGGTGGGGGGTCCCAGTAACCCCCTTGCGCACTGCTGCTTCTCTGGGACACCTGAGGTGCTTGGAGTTATTGTTGGAGCATGGTGCAGAGGTGAGATAAGGAGAGAGCATTTTGTTGTAAAGCTTTCAGTTGAGAATGAGGAGGTGTTGAGGGGGGTTGGTGGGACGCTACAGCTGTCCCTGCAGGTGGGTGTAATGGAAATAAATATTCTATTTAATAACCAAAATTATATACTGCACTCAGCCATTATACAATTCATTTAAAGGCCTATATTCACCCTGGAGGTCCTTTTCATTTATTAAAAATGAAGAGTCAGAAATGAGATTTTCGCTACATTTTACACTGGGGGCATTAAAGCAGCACTAATCAACATTTTAGTATGAACAATGGATCAAATGACTAAGTGTAATATGTAAAGGGGTCACTGGTAGTGACAAGCCCACACCGAATTATTACCCGACTCTGCAGTTCATCTCAGTTCTACAGAACCTTTTAGTGTCTTTTAGCTCTTTGTTTTTGTTTTTACGTCCTTCAAACTCTGCTGTCATCAATGCTGTTTCCAGAAGCAGCAAGCAGCCCACTGTACACTACCTGACCAGTACAAAACTGCAGATGGCTATCTAGGTATATAGTAGAGCATTTGGCTGCTAAAATGCCAGGTATTTCCCTCTGGTTGAGACTAAAACAGAGCTAAAAGGATGGCGAATATTGAACTTAAAATATTGAGGTAAACGAATGCTCAGTGTCTTCTGGATATGTAAAAGGGGAATTCTTTGAAAATCTATTAACGTGGATTGAATGGTACAAAGTGCGTTCAGAGAAACCCCTGAAGTTCTTTGATGACCAATTTACAATTAGTCAGGAATGTGCTTTCAACTGTTACATGTTGGTGTACTGCTGTGTTTGAATCCAGATTGACAGCCTGGACGTGAAGGCCCAGACACCTCTGTTCACAGCTGTCAGTGGGAAACATCTAGACTGTGTGGTCGCTCTGCTGAAGGCCGGAGCGGATCCTAATGGCAGCCAGTACAACAACTGCTCTCCGGTGCTCACTGCCGCCCGAGAGGGCGACTTAGACGTGCTCTGTGAGCTGCTGCGGTTCGGAGCCGAGGTGGACGTCAAACCCAAAGTCCCTGAGTGGGCTACTAATGCCACAACCTGCAGAGGGCCCCTTTACCTCTCAGCTGTTTATGGACACCTGGACTGCTTTAAACTACTCCTCCTCCACGGGGCCAACCCCAACTACAACTGCACAGATGAGAAGATGCTGGCCAGGATAAAGCAGCCAAAGACAGTTCTGGAGGTGTGCCTCCGCTATGGCTGCGGGGTGGAGTACATCCAGCTTCTTATAGACTTTGGGGCAGATGTGTTCCTGCCTACACTGATCATTGACAAGACTACAAAGCAGAATGAAGCTCTGGTTCTGCTGCTCAAAGAGAGAGGTGAGACACTGATTAGAGTTGGTTTAGTAAGCACTGAAGTGTGTGATTGTCTCAGAATGCTCATGCTAATCTACTGTTTTCTGTCTGTTTCTGCTCCAGTTTGTCCAAAAACACTGATGTCGCAGACTCGGCTAACAATTCGAAGATACCTTCCTCTTGCCAATAAGGAGCCGGCCATTGACAGTCTGGACATTCCTCTGATCCTGAGGAACTACCTGAAGCACGACACCTCTGAACTCATATGATGCTCACTAGCATCAGAACATATGGCCAGTGCTGTTTTATCTTTTTTACCTCATTGCTGTATAATTGACTGCACGTTTTTTCACATTTTTCCACAAGTAGGATAAGATAACGAACACTCACAATCTCAATGTGTGACATTTTTATCTGGTTCCTTTAGAGGTCTCTTTAATATAAATTCTTGTTTTTATTATTTATACATGAAGATTGAAGTTTGTGACTATCCATAGATTAAGTTTAAATAGATATTTTAGCTCTACAAAGCTCATTAAAGTGTCTTTGTCAAACACAGAAAGATGATCACCCTGACAGGCTCCATGTTGGAAAATCTGCCGTCTTTATGAAGTGTAACGCCATGGTTGACCACTAGAGACCACAGTCATACTGCTTATTGCTCTTGTCCAGATATGAGGCTTCTCACTGGTACATTTGAGCATCTGTTAATGCCTCTCTGCATCACCTTTAGCTCTGTGACATGACACAATCAAAAATAGTCTTCAATTATTTAGACATCTAGGCACAACTGGCGAAACACAGTGACTGCATCGCACCAGGATGTCTTAGATCTTGCCTGAAAAACAGTCTTGCATCTTTCAGACATTAGGAAGCGGAGTGATCAGCTTACACTTCAGCATAGCCAACTGGGAGAATATATTTGCATAAGTCTCATTACTTATTGATTGCAGCATAGTTATGTACGGGCTACACTTTGTGGTTTGAAGTTTGTTGAAAAGAATTCTGGGGATTTGTGGACACCATCCTTATACCGTTATTATCTCAGGTTTGTTTGCCCTTAAATCTTTATTCTGTAATACATCCAAGAGTTAATGAGTCAGCTCTTGGGAATAGGACCTACCAAACAGGAAATTATATCACACGACAGGAAAGGCAAGCACAATGCTCTCACTGACACATCAACGTCTCAACGCGCAGGTTCTGTAGAGGTTTTATTTTCAACAAAAGTACAGCTATATCAGATATGGATTTATTTTTACAGCAAAGTACAACATATTCCCAGTGCTTCTGATTACATCAAAACATATAATGTACATACAGTTGACATCTCCACTCTCCCATTCACAGTTTCTGGATTGAATAGGCATTATTTTTCAGGTTTTTCATTTCTACAACAAATAATCAAACTCAAAAGGCCGGCAAGAAAGAAAATGACAAATGTTTGCATATGGTGACAAAGGACGTGGATACTGTGAGTAAATTTTTCTGTGATAGGCAAAAATCCAGACCTCAAACTAGATGGTAATATACAATGGATAGATTCCAAAAGTGGGATGTCAGTCTTCTGTTAACCTTGTTGTCATTGAACACCACATCAATATATGGCTCATTGAAGACTCTGTTGTACCCTGACTATTCTGAAACAACACAGGACTTCATAACCAACTGCAAGGAGTTCCTACTGAAGATGCTATGCTAAATGTGAGTGAACGCGGTTAGCGGCTCATGTACACCCTGGACTAAAAGGGATTACATAAATCTGAGCAAGCTTGATGCATCCGATTGACAGTATGCTAACTTGGCTGTCTTGGTTTTGTGACCAGAAAGAGAAAAAAAAAATCTTCAACTGCACAGAAGGCTGTCCTCTCGGCTCTCGGTACAAGGTCAGAATGGTAATTATATAAGAAAATAAAACCAATATATACATCCTTTTAACAATGTGGCCAAATGGTACTGTTTAATACTGCATTCAATAAATACAAGTGAGGAATTAATTTGTACTGTCAAGTCATTGTACTTCAAAGAATAATTTCTTAAGTAGAAACAAGAGCATGATATGAATTGCAATGAAGTACTGTGTGTGTGTGTGTGCGCGTCTTCAGGATTATGTTTATTTTTAGCTCATCCCGAGAGGTTTCGCATTTATTCAGCTCTTCTGCTTGACTACAAATCTATACACAAACATCCATGATCAGCGCTAACTCCTATTTGGTTCACTGTTGTCATAGAAAAATTATACCCGTTTTGCCTCAGCGGTTAATGGCATTCCAAATAAAATAAAATAAAAAACCCAGCAGTTTGGACTATGACAGTGTAGGTTGGAGTCAAAGAAAAGAAATCAATATTTAAAATAACGTTACAGTTTATAGTGCCCATTATATCTGGGCAAAAAGAGCATCAGTGCCTTTCATTTCACCTATCAACAGTTCATTCTTTGATTCAGGGGGAAATGAGGACAGATGTTCCCCTCTGCCTGACAATAAATAAACACAGAAGCTACAACCTGTAATGTATAGTGAGCAGGAGACAGGTGGACAGAGAAAACTCCCTTTTAGTGAGATGGTATGGGTTCACATACGAATGGTTCCGTGTTGTGGAAAAAAAATCCCATTGGAAGGTAAATGAAACTAAACAATCTGTTAAGAGTTGTCTTAAGTCTCATGCAAAATATTGGATGCCACAAGCATGCATTTACCTGGTACTGAGGTCTACCGCACGCTAGAACTGGAACAACATTCGTCTCCAACGCAAAATACCAATATCCAAATATATGATCTGTTCTTTGTACATTATTTACAGTGTGTAGCTGATAAAGGTAAAATAGATGATTCTTCTTTTGATTCATAACTCACTGTTAATAATATACTTTGAAATGTGAAATCTATCTTGACTAATGAAAATCTGTTTCCTACTATATATTCAAATTAAACCATCTTTCAGCATGTTAAATAGATAACAATAAAGGAATTCTATGTAGTTTCTAAACATCTGAAATCAGAAGTAACTCCTTTTTGTGCAATAAAATTACCGCTATGTAAGTGTGATATAATATAATAAGGTGTTTTAAAGTGTTTCAGTCAGACAGCACAGTATCTACTCATATGGAAAAGGCCTGACCTCTAAGTTTCTGTCCGAGTGGATCTCATGCACTGGAGAACGAGGAATTCCCAGTGTGTATGAGAGAGAGAGAGAGAGAGAGAGAGAGAGAGAGAGAGAGAGAGAGATGCAAGTCCCACACTGAAGGGAAAATACATGACTAATTCAAATCTGCCTGTGAAACTGAATAGATAATCACTAGTGGAATGCTGGAAGGCACTGTTAGATAGCATCTCTCTTCTCCGCAGCAGAACGGGCCAGCAAGTGCGTATGATTATGTGTCTGTGTGCTTGTGTGTCTGTGTGTGTGTGTGTGTGTGTGTTTGTCTGCATGCTTGTGTCTGTATGTTGTTACTGGTGGTGGCGTGGAGTAGGGGAATGGGGGTGGGCGTAGCACGGGACCTGAGGTTATCATGGCCTGGGAACCATATCTTTTTGCTGTGCCAGACCTGGGAATTATCTTCCACAACAATCTCACTGGGAGCCATCTCTACAGACACCAGCAGCCAACTCACCCGTTTCTCAACTTTCTTTACTGAAACAAAACATAAATTACACAACATACAAAGCAATTCTAAGGTCTTTTTCCAATAGGTTATAAGGCCTATAAGAAGGCAAACAAATGACATAGAACGATATATAACTCTTTCATATCACGTTGTAGTGAATAGTGAAGATATAATATGATATATCACATTGCACAAGTTGTCATACTGTATATGTACTGTCCATCAGGTGATATAATTCAACACAAAATGTACTTCTGTATCTGAGGTCAAAATATGATCACAAACCAAGGACAGATATGTCACTTACATTCCAACTTTATAAAAGAATACACCTTCATGATGTGTGTAAATTAGTAGTTTCTCTTCAGTAGATCTTCCCTTTTCTAACACCTCTGCTGAAATAGCACGGGACCTCGCTCACAGCAACTCGGGGACATTGTTGACTAAACAAATCAATCTGATTGGGCCGTGGTCCTTTGTAAATCACTTAACAACGCCGATCTAACTGCCAGAACACGGATCTGAACTGGAAAACAACGTGACGGGGGAGGAGTGCCAAGATTGTGAAGCTGGAGCCTTTAGAGACGTATGAATCCTGTCAGAGGACACCTGCATGCTACAGATTAAATTCACCTTTCTGCCTCCCCTATGGTGTTGGCTCACACTTCTGCAGTGTGCTCACAACCAGCTGATATGGTTGTCCCAATCATTTATAATTTCTGCCATTTTTTTGACCATTTCCCCTTGGACGAGTTTGGGTTCTTTCTGATATCTCACACTGTGGCATTGCTCCAACTCAAATGAGAGGAAAAAGTACTCCTCAGATTGAATATGTGCTGTGCTTTTTACAATGTAAGCAATATGAAATAATAAAGTCAACTGAAGAAGTCTTATTTTTTTTTATTTATTTTTTTTTACAGCTGACGTGAAAAAGAGATATCATTTTAGACCTTGGCCAATGCATCAACTTCACTTTTAGCTCTCAGTGGATTTCCAGAGGTAGGCTGTGCTCCTTCCAAACGCCCAGTGAGCTGCCAGCACAGTGCTACAGGGGTGGTCTCTGGGGAGAGTGGGGAGGAGCTCTGACACAAGGCAGGTGGACTGTAGCCTGCCTATCTCCAGCTCCCAGCTGTTTTATCTGAGCGGCAAGCTCTCCGTCAAATGCAACCCACAGCCCCTCGGCGTGATCGGTTATGAATACCCTGTCAAAAGTGGTTGGTGAATGGATGTAAATATTCTACTGATGTTCCAACTATTGATTTGTTCCCTGACCCATCGTATCATGGCCACTGGCAGGTTTCCAAAAGAATGAAGCTCTTCCTCTGAGAGCCACTGACTCACAGAGGCCGAGCAGGTGGGTAGAGATACAGAAAGGACAAGAGGGATGGTAAGAGAGTGAGAGAAACACTGTGAACATCAGACTTGATGAAGAGAGGGCTACTATATGCAAACGGCTAGAGAGTGGACTATGGAGCGTTGAGAGTGAGGGGGAGATCCAGACGCAGACATCAGTAGAGCAGAGATGGCCTGACCGGTCTGTGATCATTGGCGGAATGGATCTAACTCAGAAATGATGCTGATGGTGGAGCTTCACAGGTCCATCAGACGCCACAGCCAGTAGCTGAGGACCGTCATTATTCAATCTCACATTCAGAAGAATGCAACAGGCAATCTCACGTAGCAGCACAGCAAGATCTCAGCTTTTGGACACAATCATACTACTGGGAATGCCCTGGCTTGGCCTTGTGTTACTTTCCAGATGACATATTCAAAATGAAATAATATAACAATCTCAGTAACTCCAGGACATTCAGATGGTGTGAATATGCAGAATCCGAGGGGAGAGAGTTCATGACAGTCGACTCAGCTGGAGAAGCATGATAACTAAGAACGTTACTAACATATATGAATTGTAAAGTTTTCTTTTTTCTGAATTTCTCAAGTCTTCAGTCCTCTTGCTGCTTCCAATCATACTCTATATTAACATTGGTCCTTAAACTGCAAAGTCTCTTGTGTATGTGTGTTTTTCATATTTTTCTTCTTCATGGGATATGATCATCCAGTGTTTAGTGCTTCTAAGAAAAATAGCTGGTCCTTCAGAAGAGTCTGTGTATCTCTATTTCTTAAATGGAGCTAATCTACTAAAATTCTGCCAGAAAGGAGCCTGGCCTCTTTTGGATTGACTGAATTCAAAAACCTCTCCTTGTGCCATGTCCTCCGTTACCTCATACTGCCCCGCACTGAGGGGGTCCTGGGGGGGCGGGTATGAGGGGGGCGTGCACCTGTTTACACCTAGGAAGGCAGGTGCAAAAAGAGCAAGAAGGAGGGTGTAAGGGGAGAGGGACAAGGAGGCAGTGCAGGGCACAAAGCGAAAGAGAAAAAGAAGGGAGGTGGATAGCAAACAGGAAACATTGTCAGTAATGTATCTGAAACAGACACAACAACACAACATCAAGTCATGCTTCCAAAGAAAGCAGCCACATAGACATACAAAATGAGCCTTCGGTGTTAACATTCCTGCATATTAAACCTGAGATATGATATATATATATATGATCATATGATGACAGCTGAATTGAGAGAAACGTGGAATTCAGCTCTAGCAATGACACAAGGGAGACTAAAGATGCTATTCAATCAAACTCTGTAGCAGGCAAACAAGAGAACCAACAGATTACATCGGATACAATGATGAAACCAGGCATTTGGACAGGGGACATTGTTCTTCCATGTTTGTTGACAGCACATTTGTTTGAATAGCACCCTCGACACTTGAGAACAAAAATAGAGCCAACAGAAAAGCTGTTAATATGCATTTAACTACGGTCTACAATGTCATTTAGCTACAGTCTACAAGCATCACAACTATGCTAGTGCAATTAGCTACAATCAATATTTAGAGATGAAATATTCAAAAGTTGCCATGGCATCTTACAGAAAATGCAAAGATGAGAAACAGTGTCTTTTTTTTTACAGATATTTTACGGCCAAACACTGTTTTAGCAGTTAGAAGGGTTTGATCTACTTGTGTTAGTGGTACCTGGTTATCTTGGATAGTCAAGATAATGATTGTAAACAGATTGGACTGTGACTACATGCTCCAATGTCAACGTTAATCACAACACCTCCCAATGCTGCTTAGCAGTTGCCATGGCATCTTATTGTGCTAGCTCTAAGGAGAACTCTAATGCATATACCTTTATCATTTTCAAACCATGTCCATACAACATGGCCCTCTTTCTCAAGATGAAATCTATAAATGAATCTGAAATTCAAGAGAGTACTTCA